ACAGTGTCAGAATCAGAGTCACACGAGGGCTGGCCGTGGTGCTGGAGGGGGTGCGAGCAGCCTGCGGGAGTGGGGGGAGGGGCTGTGAGTGGAGCGGCGAGGCCCCCGGGGGCCACCAGCTCTGCTGGAGAGCCGTCCCCCCACGGCCTCTTCTACACCCAACTCTCAGAACCAGAGAGCGGCAGTGTGATGTGGGGAGAGGCTGTGGGCGCGCCACACCTTGAAAGGAGCCCCTGTGTTAACGACTGCACATCTTCCCCACCCTCACCGCCCAAGCCACATGGCACCCTGCCAGCCTGGTTCACCAGCCCCAGGCCTGGCCCTTGCCTGCCATACTCAGGAACCAGCGAGGCCCAAGACCTGCAGCTCAAGTGAATGAATGAACCAAGCACAGGCTGGGCCAGGCCAGCCGGACAGCCAGGCTGACCCGATGGTCCCGAGAGGCCCAGGGCAGTGGGGCGGTCCCCACCTCATTATGGCCGCGAGGGACAGAGCCGGCCAGAAATAGCAGATTCCCAAAGGCCCAGATGTGGGGTTCTCAAGTCACGGCACACAGCCAGCCCCAGAGGCCTCTCGAGGAGGCAGGGGAGGGTCCCCCAACCCCCCAGCTTCAGCCACGCGGAGGCCTCTTTCATCTGCTCATATACTGAGTCTCTGTGTACACTTACGTTGGGGAAACATGTTTTGCTGCTAAAACAGTTTGAAAGGTGTGGGTCTTGCTCATTCTTGGCCTGTGGGTCTTGACAGCCCACGAGGAGCAGTGGGACACCTGGGGAGGCCAAGGTACAAGCCCGCCTTGCCTTTAGCCACCACGCGGGAGCGAGGCCCTGAGCATGTCTTCCCCCCTGGGCAGCCCGTGGACGCACGATGCTGCCCCTCCCTCCCACCTTCCTCCCGAACCCAGCAGCTTTCTCTGGGCACCTCTGCTGTGGTTTACACTCGTCTGGGAAGGCAGATTTAAATCGGCAAGAACTTGCCAACTTGCCGAGCCCTGGTTTTCAGCTGAGAAACTTGGTCACCAATTAGATAGATGACCCACACCTCCCAGTGGCTAGTGTCATGGTTTGATCTGCCTTAGGGCCTGATCCTGGCCCCCATTAGCCCGCTCCAGACCCTGGCCCAGGATGCTCTGGCTTTCCCCCAGGTGGTGAGGGTCTCGGAATTTGGGCCACATCATTTTTTTTTTTTATTTTATTTATTTACTTATGGCTGTGTTGGGTCTTCGTTTCTGTGCGAGGGCTTTCTCTAGTTGCGGCAAGCGGGGGCCACTCTTCATCGCGGTGCGCGGGCCTCTCACTGTCGCGGCCTCTCTTGTTGTGGAGCACAAGTTCCAGACGCGCAGGCTCAGTACTTGTGGCTCACGGGCCTAGTTGCTCCGCGGCATGTGGGATCTTCCCAGACCAGGGCTCGAACCCGTGTCCCCTGAATTGGCAGGCGGATTCTCAACCACTGCGCCACCAGGGGAGCCCTGGGCCACATCATTTTGATGCTGATAAGACCTCAGAGAAGGAAACCCTCTCACCAATGCCCCTGCTTGATGACACCCAGCCTCCAGGGTCTGAAAGCCTTAAGTTGCTTACCTGGGTCAGGCCAGGCTGGGGCTTAGGAGTAATAACAGCAGCTGTGGCATCAACCTCCACATACCAGGCTGTTCGAAATACTTTGCAGACGCTAAGGAGCTCATTTCATCCTGTGATAACCCCTGTTACAGGTGGGTAGACGGAGGCTCTGACAGGTGAAGGGACTTGTTCTTAATGAGCAGAGGAACTTGAACCCCACCTGTGACTCTGAAACCTGCAAGTTTAACCCCCCACCTGTGAACTGCCTCCTCCCCAGGTGGAGAGAGCCTGTCACAAGGTGAGGGAGGGGCAACTTTCAAAAGCCTGGCCTCCTGCCTGGGCTGCTGCGTCAGCCTCAGGGTCCCTGGGGTCAGGTGCAGCCGCCTCCCTCCAGCTCTCACCTGCCCTGTTGGTCCCTCCCTCCTGCTGGGACTGTGACCGCCCCCCGCCCCCCCCACGGGCTCCAGATGGCTCCCAGCCTGAGCCTGGCCTCCACCTGGGTCAGCAGCATGCAGGCTGGGAGGCCTGGCTCCCGGGAACAAGTTGCCGTGGAAATACGGGGCGGGGTGTGGAACAAGGTTCCCTCCCTCCCTTAGGCTCCTCCCCTCATGGCCTGGCAGCCTCTCCATCCACCATTTCCTGCTTCTGCCCCTTCTGTGGCCGCTCAGGCACATCCCAGGGTGGGCGAACGTCAGCTGGCCCTATGGCTAGTGAGAGGGGCAGGCCCTGGGGAGGCCAGGGCTTCAAATCCCAAACCAAGAGCCCAGACTGCAAGCAGCAACCCTGCAGAGGGCAGGAAGAGAGTTCTGCACTGACCAGGGAGCGCAGTGTTTCCCGGGAGCAGTGTGGACATCCAACACTGGGACCGTCAGGTAAATAAGCCAGGGCACCTCGGACGCTGCAGCCATGGGTGTCCCGGGGGGTGTGACCCGGCAGCTTTCAAAAGCAGGTTACAGAACGTTGTGTGTAGAGCACGTTACAGCTCTTATTAAATCTACGCTCTATAGATGGAAAGAAGGTTCTGGAAAGGTGGCTACCTCTGGGTGGCAGGATTACAGGTGATTTAAAAATCTTATTTTTGTCTTCTATTTTGTAAATTTTCTACAGTGAACATCTATTGTGTCATTTTTTTCCCAAAAGGTTTTTTTTTGTTTTTTGGGGTTTTTTTTCATTTCTGAGCAACAGGGGTTGCAGGCCAACAGTTTCGGTATCTCCTGTAAAGTTTCCAGGAAAGTTCCCAGAGCCAGGCTGCACTGAACTGGAATTTGGTCATAATCCTCCTCCCTTCTCTGGCCCTCCTGGTGTGCCAGGCACCTGGGGGGACCACCTCGTCTGGTTTGCTGGGACTTCCCTGTTTTAGCCCTGAACTTCTTATGTCCTAGAAACCCCCTGTGTCCCAGGCAAACCCAGGACAGTCAGTCACCCTGTAGGCACTGTGTCAGACCCCGTCTGGCAGGTGTTTGGGATACCTTGTTACAGGTGAGGGAAGTTAGACGACTTGTCCAAGGTCACAGTCAGGAGGCTCCGAGGCTGGGACTCGAACCCAGGTCTCTGTGGCACTCGCAAGCCCCCACTTTGGCCGACCGGGTGCCACTGTGATCAGCTGGATGAAAGTGGGCCCTTGGCGTGGGCCTTCGTCTAACGGCACAGAGAGGCAGAGCAGCCTCTCCAAGGCCACACAGCGGGGTGGTGGTGAACAGGACGGACAGAGATCCAGTTCTCCCCCAAGCTCCCCAAATGGGAAAGGAGACCGCCCCTCTGGCTCCGCACCCCAGGCCAGCGACTCAGCTAACATTTGGAGACTGCCGTCCTGTGTCTGGCCCTGGGCATACGCCTACGAACAGAATAGATTTGGCTTGACCCCCCTTCTGTGAAGTGATGGTGGTGGGGAGGAAGTGAGGGGTTAACCCCAAACCTCTCACCACCCAGCGGCTTCCTTAGTTGCGGCTGGGTAAGTGCCATGAGGAGAGCGTGGGTTGTCTAGAGGGCAGGGAAGGCCTCGCTGGGGGTGTGACGTTTAGGCTGAGGCCTGGCAATGACGGAGAAGTCAGAGGGAGGGAAAGGGAAACATCCAGAAAGAAGGAGGAGCAGGCAGGGGTGCTCCAACCTCCAGGGCTTCGTCTTGTCTTCTGTAAAATGAGGACAATATGGTACAGCTGCCATGGAAAACGGTTTGGTGGCTCCTCAAAAAACTTTACATAGGGAATTCCCTGGCGGTCCAGTGGTTAAGACATGGAGCTTTCATGGCTGAGGGCCCGGATTCAATTAATTCCTGGTCGGGGAACTGAGATCCTGCAAGCCACGAGGCGCAGCCAAAAGAAAAAACAAATTATACATAGTTAACACATGATGGAGCCATTCCACCCGTAGGGATGTGCCCAAAAGAGCGGAAAACGGGTTCTCCACAAATACTCGTACACAGATGTTCATACCAGCATTATTCACAGCAGCCAATATACAGACAACCCAGATTCCATCAGCAGCGAATGGATAAACAAATTGTGGCAGGTCCAGACCATGGAATAATAGTCAGCCATAAAAAAAGGAATGAAGTTTTGATACCTGCTACAACATAGATGGGCCTCAAAAACATTACGGTACGTGAAAGAAGCCTGACGCAGAAGGTCACGTATTGTCTGATTCCACTTACATGAAACGTCTAGAATAGGCGGATCCATAGAAACAGGAAGCAGACTGGTGGTTGCCAGGGGCTGGGTGAAGGGGGGACAGGGACCACCTGCTTGATGGGAACTGGGTTTCTTTTTGGAGCTCGATAGAGGTGACGGTTGCGCAACACTGAATATACTAAATGCCGCTGAACTGCGCACTTAAAAATAGTTAATTGTGGGGCTTCCCTGGTGGCGCAGTGGTTGAGAGTCCGCCTGCCGATGCAGGGGACGCGGGTTCGTGCTCCGATCCGGGAAGATCCCATGTGCCGCGGAGCGGCTGGGCCCGTGAGCCATGGCCGCTGAGCCTGCGCGTCCGGAGCCTGTGCTCCGCAGCGGGAGAGGCCACAGCAGTGAGAGGCCCGCGTACCGAAAAAAAAAAAAAAAAAGTTAATTGTGTGTTACGTGAATTTCAGTTCAACTTAAAAAAGATGGCGATGGTAACACCCTGTTCTGGGGACTGGCGGGGGCTTCAGTGAAGTCCTTTGAGAAAAACCACCAGCCCAGGGCCCCATTTGTCAGGATGAGATCCTCCGACGGGCCCACAGTGGCCCACAAAACCCCTGATCGCCACTCTCTCATTCAGCACTTTTATCTATCCGGATACCCCAGGGAAGGGCCTTCCAGGTAGAGGGAACAGCACAAGCAAAGGCCCCGAGGTGGGAACCTGCTCGGAGGCCCGCGTGGTTCAAGTGAAGGAAGCCTGGGCGCAGCGGGGGGAGAGCACGCGGAGGCGGCGCTGATGGCCTTCGGGGCCTCTCTCTCCTGCCCACAGCCCTGCTCCTGGACATCATGACGGTGGCTGGCGTGCAGAAGCTCATCAAGCGACGCGGCCCGTTTGAGACGAGCCCCAGCCTCCTGGACTACCTCACCATGGATATCTACGCCTTCCCCGCCGGACACGCCAGCCGCGCAGCCATGGTATCCAAGTTCTTCCTCAGCCACCTGGTGCTGGCGGTGCCCCTGCGCGTCTTGCTGGTGCTCTGGGCCCTCTGTGTGGGCCTGTCTCGGGTCATGATCGGCCGCCACCACATCACCGACGTCCTCTCTGGCTTCGTCATCGGCTACTTCCAGTTCCGCCTGGTCGAGCTGGTCTGGATGTCCTCCAACACCTGTCAGATGCTCATCTCCGCCTGGTGAGCCGTTCATCTGCGGCTCCGGGGCCGGGGGTGGCCCGAGGGGCAGCAGGAGGACATAGGGCTGGCAGGGGAGGGGGGACCAGGCAGCCCCAGCCCATCTCCCCGTGGGCCGGTGGAGGCTGGTGACCTCAGGTGGGCCCACCAGTGACTGGCACGTCCCTCCCATCACGCTGGGTGCCCCCTGCTCCTTCAATCAGACCCTGAGTCCCTCTGTGGACGGACTGGGGCCCAGCCGTGCGGATAGCCCTGCTCCGCTTCTGCTCTGGAGGTACCAGGTGAGAACCGGGATGGCGGGAGAGGGGCCGAGTCTCATCTTGTCCTTTCACCATCACGACTGTTGAGCTCCTGGCTGTGCCCACCTGACCACAGCACACCGCCCAGCGAAATGCCCACAACCCACCACCCAACACAGGTGCCATTAATGGTCATCGATAGCTTAGGGCAACGCTTTCCAAAGGGCGCCCCACCAGACACCAGCCTACAAGACACGCTGGGAAGAGAAATGGTCTTGTGGTCAAATAACTTTGGGAAATGCTACACACTCTTGGACATTCACAAGGGCTGGGATTGTCGTAAAGGCAAAAGTCCTGTAGAAGAGCTTCCGTGGAATCTTGTTTAATCCATGTTTCCTAAACTTATCTGACTACAGAACCCTTTTCTCAAGGAACAGCTATTAACCCCCGCCCCAGGGAACCGCATTTCCCCAGACGCATTTTGGGAGATGCAGCCCAGGAGCGGAAGGGCCTGAGGCGTGAGCTGGCCTCTCCCAGCGCTGGGCCCCAGAGCCCGGGGAGACCAGGTGTCTGTGCCACCGCCTGTGGAAAGCCCAGGGCCCACGGGCATCGGTGCCGCTTTGGCCCCCAGGGGCCGGACTCCGTGTGACCTAATAGGTCGTTTCCAAGTCAGCCGTTCTGGACGTGCACTTCATGTGACAATACAGGTGATGTGCAAACAGGCCCTCTCCTGTGTGTTCTTTTTCCTCGTTTGATGCAAGATTCCAGGTGGGAGAGTCCCTGTTAACATGGGGGTGGGGAGTGATTTCTTTACCCCCAGTCAGGCCACGGTGTCAGGTGGTCAGGGGGCAATGGGCTCCTAGGCGTTTCCAGGCTGCCTGGTCCCTTCTCCCTGAGAAGCCCTGCTGGGGCTCCCTCCATCCCCGGGCCCTGCACTGGCCACCCTGCCCAGGGCCTGGGTCGTGATTCGTTTGGAAAAAGCCCTCACTGTGGTGCTGAGGGGCTCTCCCCTGGGGGCCAAGACCCTCTCACTCCCCGCTGACCCAGACCCTGCCCCCAAGGAAGTGGTCGCTACCAGGACAAGTGGGCTCAGGGTGAGGTAGACATTAGCACCGACAGAGGGTGGGTTCGTTTCCTGTCTACCATAAGGAGGAACCACAGCCAGCCGCGTGGCTTAAAACAACAGGAGTGTGTTCTCTCTCAGTTCTGGAGGTTAGAAGTCCAAATTCAAGGTGTCTGCAGGGCCACGCTGCCTCTGAGACTCTGGGTAGAATCCTTCCCCGCCTCGTCCAGCTTCCGGTGGTGGCCGGCAATCCTGGCTGTGGCCACGTCACTCCAACCTCTGCCTCTGTCGTCACGGGGCATGCTGCCTGCGTCTGTGTCTTCCTCCTCTTTTTTTTTTTTGGCTACACGGTGCGGCATGTGAGATCTTAGTTCCCCGACCAGGGATCGAACCCATGCCCCCTGCACTGGGAGCACGGAGTCTTAACCACTCGGCTACCAGGGAAGTCCCCGTCTTCTCTTCTTATAATGACAGCAGTCCTATTGGATTAGGGCCCACCCTACTCAGAATGACCTCATCTTAACATCTTAATCACATCTGCAAAGGACCTTTCCAAACAAGGTCATGTCCGTAGATACTGGGAGTGAGGGCTCCAACATCTTCTGCGGGGACACAGTTCAACCCGTAACACGCAGGATCCTTTCGGGGGAAAGACAACTTCCTCTCCCAGCCGCCCCACTGGGACAGGACAGGGGTATATAGCGCAGTCGCATCCGAGGGTCCAGCTGCTGCTGACGATGAAGGGCATCGGATCTCCTGGGCCCAGAGCCCTCTGCAGGCCCAGCCCTCAGGCCTGAATACCTTCCCCTCCCGCTGCAGATCCCACACCCTCAGGGGTCATGGTCCCCCAAGACCGATGCCCCTGCAGGTAGGACCCAAGCCACCCCTGCTCGCCCTTCCAAGGCTCCTCTCTGGAGCCTCCTTTGCGTCCAGCCCTGCTGGGGGTGCAGGAGGTCTGCACCTTGTCTTTTCGCTAAAGGAGCTCGGGGATGCCAGACCCGGCTGGGCCACCACAATGAAGACCCCCCAACCTCCGACCTTGAACACTGGCTGGTTGCAGAGTCTTCAAAATACATTCTGCCCGTTCCCATAGATGCTCCTGGGCAGCGCGTCCATGAGACGCTGAGCAGGAGGGGTGACCCTCGGGAATCCGGGAACCCATCATCCAGGGTGAATCCGGCTCCAGCTTTGGGCTGGGGACGGGCTGCTGCCCTCCAAGGCCCACATCCCCAGCGGGTCCCCAGGGCCTCTGTCTCTGCAGGGGTGGGTGGTGGTCTCTGGAGCCTTTAAGATGAGGAGGGGGTTTCTGAAGAATGGAGGGCTCTCAGCAGACCCCCTAAGCGCAGGGTGGGCAGTGGAATCCAAGTGCCTAACAACTGATGAGGAGAAAAGTCTCCCTGGAGAGGCGGTCGGCATCCTGTCCTGCGAGGTGTCAGCAACACCAGGTGCTGGAGCCCTGGGCTCAGCACCAGCACTGACACAGCAGTCACATGCCCTCTCCAAGCCTGGTGTCCTAATCCGTCAGACAGGGATGGCAGTGGCCCCTGTCGGGTCATGTGTGACTCAGGGATACTCCCTACCTGGGCACCTGGCGCAGGGTCCACCCTGCCATCCCGGACGGGCCCCCTGGGGGAGCCCTCAAGAGCAGAGCCGGGGAGGGAGGGAGGAACCCGCTGTCACACCCATTCCTGGAGAGACCCTGGGCGGAGGCGGGCAGGCGGCGGGAGGTGGGGTGACAGCCGAGAGGGCCCCAGTGATGGAACCGGAGACGCGGAGTGTGTGTGCTCCCTCAGACGTAGTTAATGCGCTTTGGTGATCGAAGCCAACAGCCACTCCCACTTTTTTACGGTGAATTATAATATTTGGTTCTCAATGGTAAACCTATTCTGCGTACCTGGGGTAAATCCCAAGTGGTCAAGATGCACTGCCTTTTCTAAATATCACTGCTTTGCGTTGGATAAAGAGAGATCTTTGTCTCTCTATCCATGGGGGGTGTTTGTGTTGTTTCCTCGATTTGTCTGTGTCCGCTTCGGTTGTCAGGGTGAAGCTGGCCTCTTCTATTTTTCTGAAGGGGTTTGTATAGAATCCGTATCATCTCTTTTTTTACCCCTCGATTTCTGTCTATCATTCCTGACCTCTCAGAGACCAACCTCTCCATGGAACTGACGTCCGACTCATGACTTGGGTTGGGGGCGGGGTGCGGTGGGTTACGACTTCCTAAGTCCTCCACCTGCCTCATCTCGCTGAATCCTTATGACGACCTTACCCCTATTTTACAGGTGAGGAGACTGAGGTTCAGAGAGCAAAAGTCATTTCTCCAAGGTCACTCAGGTAGGATGTGGCAGAGTCAGGATTGGAACCCAGGCTGCAGTGGCCTCAGAGCAGAGAACCCTCTGGAAAACAGAAACGCAGGGCACCCACCAACCTTGGAGGGAGGCTGGACTGGTGAAGCGGCAGGCCCAGGGGTGGGTTGGCTTTTTTCTTTTTTTTTTTTTTTTTTTTTTGGGGGTCG